GTATGCAAAATCCAATAAATATAAATGCCGGATAATCCAGTTATTCAAGCACGAAGTACTCATAACTACGGTATAATACTAGTAAAGCGCTATCGCGCTTTACTAGTATTAGAACACTATTGTACCTTACCGTTATTTGGCATATGGTCGAATTTTAAGCACCTTCGGTGCTTAAATCGACCAATCAAATAGCATACAGCAAATAACTCAGTTATTCTATTAAATATAGCGATAGAATTGTTTAATTAGTTATACGTATCTATTGTGAAAATACCAATGCTAGTATTACGCAATTATATATTTATATTAAAATATAAAAATATTATTTTTATGATTAAAACGATCTAAAATTTTAAGATTATATATTTTAAAACATACAGTACCTTTCATATTAGTATTTAACATCCAGTCGGATCCAGTTATTCCATCAACTTAGGCTATAGAATCAATTCTATTGATATTGATATTTAGCAAAAAGTTATTACATTAAATTTTTAAACGAAACAATTAATAAAGTCAATATTTTTTCGATTAAAAGTTTTGAACCTCACGTAAGTATTGATTAATCAAAAAGTACATAACGTGAAGGTTTTAGCCAATCAAAATTCTTGCTGATCAGCCAATGAAATCAAGACTTGATTTACGCTTCGATCATATGACACATCTCTAACGAATATGATTATTCAGAAGTAGCGTCAGAGGACATAATTTCGTTAAAGTTTCATCGACGGTTTATTCTATCAATTTATTACTTGCTATTTGCAATATATATACAAAAAAAAAAAACTTTTTATAATGACCAAAGCTTATTATGCGTGAATTATTATCATTATAAGGAATTAACTTTAGCCGATTTTTCATTATTGGCCAGGATCACTATCTCCAACGTGAGCTTCCAAAAAGTATTTGAAATCTTTTTCTGGCTCATTTTTAAAATTCAGCCAGAACGAATGGACAGAAAGACAAGAAAGTAGGTAAGCAGCTCTGGATGTTACATAATATATTAGTAGAATAAAGATCGGGATCAGACTTAAGATCAATGGGATGGATCAAATCATAATTGAAAATCATAATTACTTGAGATCTTCCATCTGACGGCGTTTCTTTTGATCAAGAACGCGCTCTTTTTGACTTTGGACATCAGATGATGACATGGTGGTCGCCTGAAGGTGATGATTATTGCGACTAGAACGGGATGAGTGCCTCTTTTGAATTTTGCTGTTCGGCACCTGTTTTCTAAAAAAGTATCATAAATTAATAAACGACTTAAGAACTCTATTTTAAATACAATATTAAAGTCAACTTACAACGTATCTTGTTGATGACGCGGTCGCAAGAAAAATTTGGTAAGTTTGCCTTGATTCACTTTGAGGATAGGTGCATTGCTGGGACCAACCGCATTGAGAAGCTTACTGATTTCACCACTTACGGTGTTGCGTGGCGTTGCACCACTATATTTGAAATAAATTATGGTTAAACATAATGGGAACTTTATCACTTGGAATAACGTGAACTGATGGTTAACGTTAACATTTCAAGCGGTCAAAAAAAATATGCTTACTGAAAGACCACTAATTGCCTTCTAGTCATTTCATCAACCAGCTCTTGTAAAGAAAGTGGTTTACTGGTAGATTCTAGGACTGCAATAACACCGGAAATTATCTTGCTATGACCATGATATACATATTTCGACGTCTTGGATGGCATGATGTGTCAAGATGAAGGAAATAAATGCTAAAACGTTGAATTTATAGTGCACAGTTTGGCAAAAAGCAAATCACAGTAAACTTTCAATGTACAAAGCTGAATGTAAGTACGTAGACGAAACGGAACAGTTCAAAATTTGAAGGAATGGAAAGGCAGGATGAGATTCTCGCCAAATGAACGGGATTCTACGGTAAGTAAAAGTGTACCGAGGAGAAATAGTGTTTTTGTCGTATTTTATATATGTATGTCGGTCGCGTCGAAGATATTTTGTGACATGAACCTTTTTTTTTTGGCATTGACCTGTACTACCGGTTACTCCGGTCTGTGCTGGATACCTATTTACGTTCCGCAGGGGTATAGAAAAAATGCAATGCATGAAAAGTTATAATCTTAATAATTGTCTGTATTTATATATTTGAAAATCTTCGTCTATGCGCTTTTGGTTTTATTATCTTTATATTAACGTTTTAATACGTTGCTACTTAATATGATCCGACTGCCCAATAACCAAGTTATTTGGCAGTCTAGTCATCGTAAGCTGCCGGATAATACCGTTATTGAATGCTACGCACCAATAACTTGTTATCCGGCTTTAAATATGCCATTTCTGGTCCCCTTCAGCTGGCGCATTAAATTTACAGCCAGATAGAAGTATTTTACAAATTTAACTCCTGTTACCCGACATATTTTTTGTCAGGAGATTATGTAATCACTTGTACAAAGTATCACGCCAAATTATCACACTCTAGAGTTCGGAATCGCTTTTCGTATTATGGCGGTTTTAACGGTTAAATTTATAAACAAAATTAGAGTTTGGAACCGGTTTATTTTTTATATGTTAAAATCTAGTTGCCACCATGGCGATTCTCTTAACAAATACGGTTGTTTTATTATGGCGGTTTGCAAAAAGGTGTGACCCTGTGATTTCGTGATTATGATAGCGGAAAAATTTTCGATATTTTAATTTTAATCGAAAATCTACTAGAATCGGATCTGCAGAGGTCACACCTTCCGATTTCTTTAACTGATGACTAATCTAGCATGATGGAAAGTCGTTTTGATTGGCTAATGTGGTACAACTGTAACGTCGATCGTTACACAATTATTTATATTAGT